ATTTTTTTATTCACTCCATGTATCTTAGCAATTATGATAATTTAATAACCAACAATTAGTACATAATCATAAAACTTGGCAAAGACATATACACAAATCATAAAATGAAGATAGTTAACATGATAATATTAAACGTTTTAAAGATCCGTCTTTGTTCTTTTATTTCCCTCTACAGATACAATCACACTGCCTTCTTTCATGTTCCATTTGACTCTGCAAGTAGCCATTCACATCACTTGTGATTATACGCATCTTTACATATATACCTTTACATAATTTTAAAACTTGTATTATTTTAACGGGTGGAAGTTTATAGAAAAACTTTAAAAACTAACTTTAAAAAAAGTTATATAAAGTAGTTTATGATCAATTTCGATTCAAATTGGTATTATTCTTTTCCAAACCAGGCTAAAGAACAAATGCATTTTATCATCATCGCATAATCATGTAAAAAACAAAATATCTCTAGAAAATATTTATAAAAACATGTGAGCATTTTTGTTTTTATAATATTTTGTTGTTCGTGGTCTTTTGGAGGTTAGGTTAGAATGGTTTAGAACTCAGGGGATAGTGCGTGTGTAAGTTAACCCTGGTATTTATATATTGCCATGTATAGAGCAATTGTGGGTATAGAGAACAAGATGGGTAGAAGGGTTAGTTGACGGTAGTAAAGTTGGTATAACGATGTGGACTAAAGATAGAATCAAACATTGTGTAATCTCTGTTTGATTTATTTAAATTGAAGTTAACAACTAGTGACCACTATTGTAAAGCGAATAAATTCTTATGTTGATCAACTTACCTATAACCTTTTTTGTCCAGTTGGTCATAAACTGCAGGTTGAATCTTCTTGCCAGTTCCTGTGATAAACGTCACATCCACTGGACCTGACTGCTCACTCACTGAAATATTAACGTGTGGACGAGTGCACATTCGTGTCTTCAAGGCAATGAAAACGACACAAGTAAAACCTTAACAAAACTTAATGAAAACGACACAGGTAAAACCTTAACAAAACTCAATGAATACGACACAAGTAAAACCTTTATCTACTGACGGTACTTATAAGTACCACTTTAATTAAGTGCCTGTACTATTTTTTAATTTAAGACGAATTTAAAAAATTATTGATGTAATTGATAGTATAATCTCCCCTGAGTCACAGGTAGGTGGAGGGATCAATGTTTTTTGAAAATTTCTGGTGTGGCGCCACTTTCAATCTCTACCTGTATCGGTAGTTCACAATCGTTCTGTACATATCTCACATGTGTTCCTGATTTCCCTTTATTTTACCTTATTCTTCAAGTTTTCAACACCGAATATTTTTTATTGGCATCCTTAATAGTCAGGTCAATGTATTTAGCTTCTAGTTTTACAATTTTTATCAAATTGTCTTTGTAATAGATCGATGTTTACAAGTGGACTTATAAGTACCGTCAGGGCACACGGACGTTTTTTTTAGGATTTCTTGGAAATTGCAGATTTTCGATTTGGAGTGACGTAAATATTATTTTGATAATTAATCATCGAAATGTATTAAAAAATATATATTAATGCATTCATAAGAAGGTAAGCATAGGATTTTCCTCAGAAATATTGTAAATAATTGCAGATTTCTAGTAGTGAAAGAAAAACAAGACTAGAGGTGGCAGTTGCAGGCTCGTTTATTAGGTTTAGTATACGTTATTTGTATACCAAAGTCTAGTTCTAGAAGTAAGATTTGTAAGTTATATTTGTTGCAAAAACTGTCTTGCCTACAATAGCTAGCGTGTATGTAATGTATACATGTAGACTAGTTATAGTCCATACATATGCATGTAGTATAGATCGTTTTGTAATTTTGAATCAGTAAACACAAAACAGTAGACCACTACGGCTATTCCAAACACATTGAGCTCACTTCTATTTATGAACTTTACACTGTAGTGTAGTGTAGACTTGTCATAACATTTTTGTAGGCTACAATTATACTAGCTTTACAAGTAGTAGTGTACTGAATGACTAGGATTCCGTTTTCAAAATATTTGTTTATGCGGCTCATTGTAATGGCTATTGGAAGACTCCAGAAAAAGCAGGTTCAGACCGGCAACTGTTGCCACACCAGAAAGACGACAGACCAGAATGTAGCAAGAATAAGAATGAGGGAGCATGACATGTAGGCACCTTTTGCTGTTTTTGAGGTCTAAGATATGTTCCGCTAGAAAATCCAGTAAAAATCGTACTCAAAATATACTTTTGTGCTGGTTTTATGTGTGAAAAATTTTTAATTTTTGGAAAAAATATCCCACATTCCTGACGGTACTTATAAGTACCAATATATGTTTGGGCCCTTAAAAATTTATGAAACAAAATTTCCTTCGACATATCCTTTAAATGTGCCAAAAGCAATATGATAACACATTGTTTAAGATAAAATGTCATTAGGAACCTAATTCCGTAAATAAAGGGTTAACAAAACTCAATGAAAACGACACAAGTAAAACCTTAACAAAACTCAATGAAAACGACACAAGTAAAACCTTAACACAACTCAATGAAAACGACACAAGTAAAGCCTTAACAAAACTCAATGACAACAGACTCAATTAATACCTTAACAAAAACAATGACAACCGTCTAAAGTCAAACCTTAACAAAACTTATGACGACAGTTAAAGTTAAACCTTAACAAAATTCAATGACAACGACACAAGTAAAACCTTAACAAAATTCAATGACAACCGACTAATGCATGAATTAGATTCCACCAGTGACAACAGTTCTGCCAGACAAACTTTGGGCTGAAGAAGCTAAACTCTACTCACGTGTCTCAAAGGCCTGCAATGTTTGTCTGACTCTAGTCAAGGCTTGTTCAACTGACATCGATCTCAGATCAAATGTGGTGTCCACCTTCTAGTTACCGACATAGCAGAAATCATATATATATATATATATATATATATATATATATATATATATATATATATATATATATATATATATATATATATGTATATATATATATATATATCTATATCTAATATATAAAGCTCAGTTCTGTATGTAATGCATATGTTTGTCGTTGGTCTTGCATGGATTAAAGTGTTATAATATTATCGTGCGCATTTCTCTAAATTTATGAGTTAAAAAATTACTATTGAAAGTGTTGGGAAATAAATTTCATTTTTCAAATTATAGTAATAATTGTCGGCATGTTCATTAAACACGAGTTTTAAAAAAATATCATCTTTTACAACAATTCTAATTATGTCTTTATTTAGTCCTATAGCACTTACTTCCCTTTGATAAATTAGGAAAACACAATTACTTCCCTTTATAAAACCATTGCATTTTGTGGAAAAGAATTTACTTTTTAATTACTTTGTTTTGGTGTTGGGAAAAAAAATAATTACATAATTAGCGGGGATTGATCAAGGGCAAATGTTGTAGGTATTTTACGGATAAGCTTGGAGTATTATAATTGTTCATTTAAGTGAGTGCAAGAGACTATGAATAAGTTGGGGTACTATAGTCGTTCATTAAGCTAAAACAGGTGATTCCGCCCCGGGCGTTTATGTTCGCGTTAGTGTTTTCTTTGTGTTTAGGTGGGTTTGCGTTAGTGGTTGCGTTTTGATTTGGTTCGTTTTTGTTCTTTCTTTTTTCGTTTTTGTTTGTGTTTTTTTCTTTGGGTTTGTATTTGTGTTTTTGGTTGGTTTTGCGTGTGGATTTGGTTTGTTTTCGTTTGCTTTTTCGTTGTTTTTTTATTTTGTTGGTATTGGTGTTTGTGGTTGGGTTTGTTGTTAGGTTTTTGTTTTCGTTTGCTTTTTTGTTTGGTTTTTCTTTGTGTTTGTATTGGTGTTTGTGGTTGTGGTTGGGTTTGTTGTTAGGTTTTTGTTTTCGTTTGTATTTGTAATTGTGTTAGCGTTATGTTTGCGTTTTGTTGTTTTGGTTGGTTGTGGTTTGGGTGGGCAGCGCCGGGTTTATGATGATTACTAAACACACAGGTAATGGTCTTTAACAGAAAGGTTTTTCACAGAAGCCAGAGCAGGGCCTGGCCGGGACGGCTAGTATATATATATATATATATATATATATATATATATATATATATATATATATATATATATATATATATATATATATATATATATATATATATATATATATATATATATATATATATATATATACAAAACAAAAATCCCAAACTAATGCGTAATTTTGTATTAATTCATAACTGTGTGTTAAATAATAAAGAAATTTATTTTATTTGACTACAAGTTACTCTTCTATTAAGTTAACAAAGAAAACATACACTGTAACAAACTTACTTTGGCTTGTCCAGCCTGTACATTAAAGTAAACTACCAACATCTTTAAAAGGAGGGAAAAAAGATATAAGTTTATAAAAATTACCAAATAAATCGAAGCAAAGTTAACGTTAGTTTGGTTAGGTTTTACATATCTAGTCTGTGAAATTTGTCTGAATCATTTTCTTAAATATTCTAATCAGATTTTGTCTTAGATATCTTATAAAACTTTACTAAACCATCTTGTCATATTGTCTGATAAATTGATACTGAGGTATCTTATCTGCTATATGGATATGTTATATTGTCATGAAACACTTATAAACATACCAGGAGAAGCACGCCATTTGTAACAACACTACAAGTTTTTAAAGTTCTCTTGTACGCCATGTCACTGAAGACAAGATGAGATAACCAAATTAACGATCAAAACAATTTTCCTTTTTTTAATGCCAAGCTAATACAAACATTGCAAACTAATTCGTAAAAATAAAATGACTTATCTATGTGTATATTTTAGATTATTTGTCTATAATCAGATTACACATATAAAACACTATGTATTGTGCTTATGGCTATTTGAAATTAAAAACAAAACATATTGTGGTTTGTTTCTTTAGATGTATTCTTAATTGTAGCTATATACGTCTGCGAGATCTTCTGTAAACTATAACAGTGTTAGCTAAATGGTCGACTACTTGAACATCATTAGACCACAAACTGGTATACATCATTAGACCACAAACTGTTGTATCCTACATCATAAGACCACAAATTGTTGCAGCCTACATCATTATTGATCACAGGCCAATATTTTACCCAGGCTTAATCGATCATTACCCGCCACTCACACTATTTTCTTTCTACTATGAGGTTAATCACGTTCAATATTCGCATCCTACCATCATACTAATTAGCATCACACAGTCGTACTGCGTACACTTATCAATTACTCAGAGCTAGCCATAACAATTCACTAAACGACAGCTGGTGACAGTCTCTAGTCAAACCATGAGTCACTAGCAATGTTGCCGATAGTTTGTAACTTCAGGCATATGAGGGAAATATACCGTTTATGTTGTAGCTTTCAATCGTGTAAATTAATAAAACCCGAAGATGTATAACGTATATAATAGATGTATTGGAGATTTGCAACGTTTCCCTACGTAGGTTCCTATAGTTCAGATTAACGCCTTTTTAAAGAATATAATATGTATATTTTGTGCAGACAGTGAAAAGTGTGCTACTTGACACTCGCCCCTCTATTGCTTGACTCGTACAATGGCCCACATCCACTGTACCACTGTTTATTCAATCAATTATATATGCATAAATAAATATGTGCATACATTAAAATATCTGTTGCCATGTATGCCAAAATCAATACAAGTAAGGAAGACGTGCTTGAATTTTTACAATGTATTTCACCATCTGCAACAGATGCAGAATTCTCAATACCATCAATACAGTTTGACAAAACTAAATATAAATAATCTTTTCACTGAACTATAAAAACCCAGTTATAAATTATATTGATTTATTACGAATGTTGGACAAAATATCAGCTATAATCTAAGTTTACAAAATGATGTATGAAATGTGTTACATACAGGTAGAGAGTGTACTGTAAAGCCCTGTGCCCAAAGATCTGTAGCGTTGTTTTTTAAGCCAGGCCGTGTCAATACAGAGTAGGTGAAGACGGTTGGCGTTATACGATCACGTGATTTCATGCACCGGTCTATTGATATTTGAATCTCTGCTGGTTGGGCGTGGCACTATTTGATTTGTAAGATCAAGTCAACAGAAGTATGTGTCACCAAATTTCCCCAAATGGATTTTCCATACACGTTTTCGGGAATTCTATGCAATGACGTGCATAGTCTAAATGTTTGTTGTTGACGTGGCTGTGGGTAAAAAAAATGTCACATCTAGCGTGATATCATCATGACGTGACACTTTTTAAATAATTAATTACAGTACTATATAAAATGTGCTTTAATATAAAATAAACTATGGGACTGCGTGATAAGAGTGTTAGAGTGCCCGATCACTAACTCAAAAGTCTCGAGTTAGTATCCCGACTTCCTTGACTCTACTCAGCTCTATTGTGTAGCCCGGCCACAGTATCCCTCAATATCCCGAGGTCTTACTAACAGGTGAACTCTAATTCTTCACCTATGATCGGCAGATTTAAAGGATAACGTATATTATAGAGAAAGAAAAGATTTAAAACAAAACATAAGCACCAATGAAATTCAGATGGATATAGAAATCAGAAATAGCTATCCTGCTCAATCAATACTCAACCGGATTATTAAAATGCCCACCATTCATTAACAATTCAAACATACATATTCAAACATTTCTACACCTAATTATTGACAAACCAAAATGTAACTGTGAGCTTTTTATTAAAATTGGATCAAATTTTACAAATTTTGAAAACAGCACCATGCGAATGAATATGAACCAAAATTCTACTGAAATAATTTCAAGCGTAATACCTATTGAATTCCCCGACACCCACAAACTGAAATGAACCAAAATTCTACTCAAATTATTTCAAGCGTAGTTCCTATTGAATGTCACGACCCCACAAATTGAAATGATCCCGCATTGAAGACATGTTGAAAAAAAAATCAGAGGTTACGAAAATAAACTTTCAGTGAACATAGGCCCACTTAACCAGCACGTACACATCTCTACCAACCTACTAGTTCTAGAGATATTATGATTTAGTTTTAGTTTTATTGACCTCTTCACCATTCGTTTTGTGTTGAATCATATAGTAAATACTAAATCTCTTTTGGAACACATGAAACAGCGAAATAGCGAAACAATATTCTAACATAAGAGTTGCCAAATTTGTCACAGTACATAAGCATGGGACAAGGTGGCCTAGATGTAGCGCGCTAGACTGCTAAGCCGAAGGACACGAGTTCAAATTAAAAGAACGTCCCTGATCCCCCCAGCTCTGATGGGTGCCTAACTCACGTTAGGGAAAATTAAGGCGGATGGACATAGTGTTGACCAAACTATATTATGCCGGGGTCACTGAAATCGATGAACTTTACTTCATCTGCCCCTTATGCCTTGGGCATGAAAGTGAAACGATGATGGCGTAAGCGCGAATGTAAAGATTGTGTAAAGATTAATCAATGTAGTAAAGGCTAAAGCAAATATACAAAACAGTTGTATAGATAACACAAATTGTTTAAAATTAAAACACTTTTGAACACAAATACATTAAAGTATGTTATTGACTTAAATACATCAATATCAAATGCACATGTAGTGGTATTTATATAACGTTTGATTCTCAACTTGTAAAATAAGGCCTACGCATTGATACTATATAATAATCAGTCAATATTGCAAGTGGAAAAAGCAAGGTCCTTTGCGTTTGAAATATTTACACACAAAAAATGTTAGATAACAAATAACTTTAAATGGGTACCTCTTTTGGATTATAAATTCTACAACAGTATTCTACCTCATTGTAATATAATTTTATACATATTTTTGTTAGAAACAATCAGGGTACAATATCTTAATGTAATTTACATCTATAACAACTGATGTGGAGAGCAAGAAAAAAACGTAAATAATAATGTATTTAAAAACAGAAACTTTGTAAGGGATAAAATATATGTAAACATAATATTATACATTTTTTAAAAGAGGAGAAGCTATTAAATCTAGGCTTAAATTATTGCTACGAACTTTGATGAAGTAAGATGTATAAATAAAAAGAAACTCTAGAACAGCAACTTAATGAGGGTTATACAGATCAACAGAATGGCACTTGGCACCATATGTGACCCGGAGTCTAAGAATAGCTTCGGATTTTTTGGGTCACATTGAACATTGGCAAACTGTGGTCGAGGACATTTATCTGGCCACATTGGACCCTTGAAGACGTCGTCCGTCACCTTATAGGTTTGACATCCACACGATCCTAGAGCTGGCTTCATGCAGCCGTAATTGGCTTCCATAGACTTGCACGTTATGTTCACATAATCCATATTGGGTAATTTCATTATTTTTTCCACTTGTGACTCAGTGCATGTCGCAATTATTTCTGATTGATTATTGTAGCAAACTTGATCAAACAGTGAGTAGTTCCTGCACATGATTGTCACCAGCTCTTTTGTTTTGTTTGGTGAAGGGAGGTAACCCGCTAAATCAGGGGCTAAACTACCTGAACAATCTATTGTGAACTGAAAGAAGCAGCTGATTGCTTTAGCCGCGTCGTCTGTTTGTTTACAGAGCTGTTCATTGAAGTACGACAGTGAGGTGGGCGACTGGGAGTCCATGTTGGTAGGTAAAGTCAGGTGGTTGTCTGTGAAACATTGTACCATCGTCTCCATAGGCTGCGAGCAGTTAGCACAGTGGCTCACATGCAGAACACCTGTTCATGGAACAATAATTGATATAAAACCAAGAATATTCTCATCCCTTCTTAGTTAGAATCAACAAGAAATCATTACTAAAAAAATGTCTTAGTTTTCAGTGGTCATTCATTGAAACTTTGTACGGGAATAAAAGGGGGTGTGGCTATGTAGAACAAGCCAATACTAAAATACTATCATGCTATCAAGTTAATTCAGTTTAGTTCTGTGTACTAGTCACTGTATTTTAGAGTATCGATTTCCTTTGTGTTACTCATATCGAATACCCGGTGTTTATCTCTATGTAAATAGTGTAGACCGCTATTAAACTTTAAGTATATTTTTTGTAACGAGTCTTTGTTTTATTTTGTCTTGTGTTTTGTAACCCGTTTGTGGTTGTTTGTCTTATACGTTTAACGTCGTATTTGATTACTTTTACAGGCGTGTTAATGTGTTCACAACAACCGTTGTCATGGTAACAAGAAAGCCTTTAGATTACATCAGAAGAAACATAAGTTGATGGTGTGTAAACAATGTCGTGGTTTAGATCGAACATTTTAGTCTTCTAACTTTCTCGGTTGAAATCATTAGAAATGTGTTCAACACAAAATATTTCTTTATTCTTACACTAATTGGTTCATTATATTTTTTTAAAAAAATTCCTTGTATTTTCTTTATTTTAGTACAGACACATAGGGCTTGTAAGTAGGTCACCGGACAGCTTGTGCTAGCGGTAGACAGCTAGACTGCTAACCCGAAAGTTTCGAGTTCGATTCCAGATTCAAGTCAATAGAATGTCCCTGAACCCATCCACTTCTGATGAGTAGGCCTACCTAATTCGAGTTAATGAAAGTAACGGCGGCTGGGTATAGTGCTGACCATATTATCCCTTTATATGCCCAGGTCTTTGAAGCAGAGGAATTCTACTTCACCTGTCCCATGTGTCTTGGGTACAAATAGAAACAGAAAAAAGTAGGTCACCAACTTGTCGGTTTCCTACTTCCCAGCAAATATTTCTACAAGAAAAACAAAAGAATAACAAAAGTTTCTTCCGCTAGGCCTAAAAACAAATAGCTGCAATAATTTTGTTAACATTGAAATCATGTTAACAATTATTTAAGTTCGAAAATGTAGTTTTTTCACTGGCTAACGAGATTTCGAATTTTAATCGAGAGAGACCATGACTTACAGGCCCTATTGTTAGAACAGTATGATTCTATGAAGCGACATATATTATATATATATATATATATATATATATATATATATATATATATATATATATAGAGAGAGAGAGAGAGAGAGAGAGAGAGAGAGAGAGAAAGACAAAGAGATAGAGGCCTATATAGATATGTATGTTTGTACATTTAAAAGCGTAAATAATCACAATAATATGATAAAATAATGTAAGCTTTATTAGCCATATCGATATATTTGAAGTTGTTTATTTTTGTTAATGATACTCAAAACTCAATTATATCTCTAGCTAAACATAATCATATCGTAAGCGCATCTTTATGGGTCAAAAACGTAACTTCAATAAGAAAATGTGTCCAGTAATATTGTAAAAAACAAAAAAAAACAAATGAATATTTAATCAACTCACCAGCCAATAGAAGTAACCTAACAGCTACAGTCACCAAAGACACACGAACAGAAGCCATGTTTTTTGTTGTCTCACTCTGTTTAACGCTACAGGAAACTAAATGACGCGTACAACAGATGTAGCTCAACAAACTGACGCGCCTCACATGAGCAACCTAGCAATCCCAAATGACTGCAACTCTTTCAACGTCGTCACAACAGCTGGAATAACGATCCAGTTTTCAAATTAAAATAATGAATGCACATTAGTTTTCTGTTTCTGACACAATACAGAGCGACAGATCGTAGGGTATTACTGTTAATACATTTGAGTCTGAAGTTGTTCATTTGTAGGCTCTCGCCCCTAGCTCTATACCTTGAACTGAATGACCCAGGTCGATCTTTACAAAACATTATGCATTCGCTTTTATGAATACGCATGCGCAAGTTATTGCGCAGTCTATTTCTGCAGCCTCAAGATTGCATCAATATCAATCAATAATTCGTGCTAGACACGGGTGATAAATAGGGACGACTCGGTCATGTTATTATTACCGAGTATTTGAACAGTTCAGTAAACTGTATTGAGTTACACTGCGTGGGTTGCATTTAACAAGACGCTTTAAAAACGCTATGTCTGGGTCTGTGAATGGAGACACTGATAATAATGCTTTTATTAAAGAAAGAAAAATATTTTTTGAACTTTATTTTCAGTGAAATTTGAAACTTGTTATTACAACATAATTTAAATGGTTTTTTTTTTACTTTGTACAGTATTAAAAATTTATCCCAACCGACCAAGTAACTTTCACCAGCGTTGACGCCATCGTCACAGACGACCCCGCAGATCAACTTTCATTCTCCGAAGAATTTCCTAACAGTCTTACCCCTACTGGCATGCCTCGGCATAAACTCAAGATTAAAATTGGTTCAGTCGTCATGCGAGGACCAAACGTTCAAAAAGATATGCCTGTATCTTCTTAAGCGGGTAGGCTCCAGAACCAACTTCTTAATTAAAACGTTTTATTGATTTATTTGTGTATATCTAAGTTAGGGTACTAAAAGTAAAAAAATGTGCAAGCGTCATGACTTTTTTGAAAAAGCTACCTTTTGTGGAGTCCGAAACTTTCATAAACTAACATATACATCGTCAATATAACCATTGATCTTCTTGTACTAACAGTAATAGAGTTAGCTGGCTAGGTTGTGTAACACAAAACAATATAGAAATATTTTTGTTTTAACTTTCAAAATTTGGTAGGGCGAAATGCCATTGAAATTAATGCTAGATGTAATGGTATTTCACCATAATAAAATCTTTGAAATTTTTAAACAAATATTTTTAGCGGTCGACTAGTATACTATATTAACTCTCAAATTTAGAGTGACCTCCGATATCAGAAAGTTGTATTTTACTCTATTTCTGAGTTATAAATTCTACATAATGTAAGTAAAATTTCAGTTAGATGAACCAATTTTGTGTGTATTTGTGTAAGATCATATTCTCTTGATCAATTTTTTTTTTACTTTCTCGTATATACGAAGTATAGGGAAAGTCTTATAATCGTGCACAAAAAAAAAAATTTGAGATTTTTGCAGATCTCGACGTTTTACACCTTCCTGAATAGGAAAAACATAGTTTTGCAATCTTGTCCGTATGTCTGTGTGTTTGTGTGTGACTGTAAACACGGTAACATGAGTACCGTTGCAACTAGGTTGATGAAATTTCATATATAAGTATAATATCAAAAGTGTAGATCCGTATCAACTTTTGAGCGATTTCCGATAACTGGAAATGGAACTTATTCTACATTAATTTTTTTCAAAAGCCTATAAGTTGAGTACTATTTCAGACAGATAAATGAAATTTCACATGTAAGTAAAAGAAATAATTTTCTACCTTCTGTTAAATTTTGAGTAATTTCCGGAAGTAGCAATTTACGTTATTTACGATTTTTCAAAAAACTAATGTAAATTCATAAAGTACTAATAATATACCGCACTATTATGCACATTTTATTTGGCGTTCACTTAGTGTGCAATTCTTTTTTCTACGAGATTTGATTCTATTTTAAAAAGTTTATTTAAAATGGATTTAAAATCATGTCTTTATCCCAAGTTCCCATCCCCTGTTGTTATATAAAAGAATATTCGAGAAAGTTTAGGGGAGATCACTCCCGGTTTATTTACGAGAGTATTACTTTACGGTATTTAACTTATAACTGATTGATTTGTTTCAAACATTACATGTCGGTCAAAACTCGAAGACAGTGCACTTTGATATAAAATGTGACTTAGTTAGATGCGCAATAAAAATTTAGAAATTTAATTTAGTTTCTTTATAAAGCATTAACTTTTTTAATTATACACGAAATATTTACATTCATTTGGTGCACCACTTTTTTTGTACTCAATTCTATTCTATTTAACAAAAATGAAAAAAAATAAAAAAAAATATAAACTAAGTATTACAAAAGTAAATTTAGTTTAATTTGAGTGATAATTATGCCGTCAAGAATTTCAACTCGTGGGGATAATAATCAAATTATTTATTTAGTTACCTCCCCTGGCAACATTTTTATTAGAACAAACCTTAATCAATCTAAACGAATGAACAAATGTTGCACGAAATTGTTTATTAATAGTTACGAATATAAATCAAGGGGAGGGTTCCTCCCGAGTGCAATTTGCTCTACTTCAGGCGGCTGTATCCTTTGGGGGAGGGGGGGGGCTGGGGTGGGGTGGGGTGGGGGGAGGGGGAAGGGTCAATTTGCGATAGATCAGATGGTTGTATCTCAACGGTGGGGAAGGGGGGGGGCAATGAGTCGTACATCAGATTTATGTATCTTGCCGAGGGGAGGGTGGATCGATTAAATTTACTCAACGTGGTGGTATCGCATTCATCAGTGCCCCTGTTACCCTTTTCTCTTGTTGAACAGACTTGAACTCACCCCACGTATGACATCATGTCTTGTATTGTATTTAACAGCCTATACTTGTCTGACGTGTGCAATAATGCGGTGTATGAGTTTACCTTCTTGACACAATAATCAGGGCGAAAAAAAAACATTTGGGTTTTGGTGCCTGCCACCTTATATAACATCTGGCTGTTGCTGCCTCCCATCTTATACAACATCTCGGTGTTGCTGCCTCCCACCTTATATAACATCTGGGTGTTGCTGCCTCCCATCTTATATAACATCTGGGTGTCGCTGCCTCCCATCTTATATAACATGGGTGTTGCTTCCTCCCACTTTATATAACATCTATCGTACTTCAGGTCTATGGGCCAGTCCGACGCTATCTTTGTTGTGTAGCTTGATCGCACAGGAAGGTTTTGTTTAAAAATAATTATTTGTTCTGAAATAAAACTGTGGTAGGTCTGTTTGGGAACATATTGTTTAGAGTTAACTAGTAGATCCCAACTTTGGTTAATCGATGAGCTTTTCATAGATCTTCATACCATTTATAGGCGTTACATTTTTTTCTCACAATCCTAGATAGGCAATGTGTTACTAATTTAAATTAGTAGCGTCAGAATGCCGTACCGAAGATGAGATTTTTTCTGGGTGACATTATTTAGGGGGGGGGAAGGGTAACAACAAACTTGGATAAATCGTAAAATGTACTGTCAAATAATGTTTTATCAAGTTAAATTAATATATTCGTAGGGGAGATACAGGACGATCAGTGTTTCTTCCAGACTTTTTTCACCGGGGGGGGGGGGGGTGTGCATGTGAAGTTTCCGGGGGGGGGGGGCGGACACTGTCAAAAGTATATATTTTCTATATAAATTCCATTTCGTTTGGGGGGGGGGGGGGCGGTGCCTAACCCTAACCCGAAGAGATGCCTGGAAGAAACTCTGGGCCGGACTGGGCCGGACTACAAACCGAACAAAGTAAGTGACATAGTGAGGCCACTGATTGAAATCTAATTTTTAAAAATTGTATTGCAGATTACTAATTCGAATCTTGTTCTAGAGTTAATTTTTTCTTGATGTCTAATCTAATGTAGGGTTTGCCTGGATCACTGGTCAGACTACAGTTAATTTTTTCTTGATGTCTGATCTAATGCAGGGTTCGCCTGGTCAGACTAGAGTTAATTTTTTTCTTGATGTCTGATCTAATGTAGGGTTCGCCTGGTCAGACTAGAGTTAATTTTTTTCTTGATGTCTGATCTAATGTAGGGTTCGCCTGGTCAGACTAGAGTTAATTTTTTTCTTGATGTCTGATCTAATGTAGGGTTCGCCTGGATCACTGGTCAGACTAGAGTTAATTTTTTCTTAATGTCTAATCTAATGTAGGGTTCGCCTGGTCAGACTAGAGTTAATTTTTTCTTGATGTCTAATCTAATGCAGGGTTTGCCTGGATCACTGGTCAGACTAGAGTTAATTTTTTCTTAACGTCTAATCTAATGCAGGGTTTGCCTGGATCACTGGTCAGACTAGAGTTAATTTTTTCTTGATGTCTAATCTAATGCAGGGTTTGCCTGGATCACTGGTCAGACTAGAGTTAATTTTTTCTTGATGTCTAATCTAATGCAGGGTTTGCCTGGATCACTGGTCAGACTAGAGTTAATTTTTTCTTAACGTCTAATCTAATGCAGGGTTTGCCTGGATCACTGGTCAGACTAGAGTTAATTTTTTCTTGATGTCTAATCTAATGCAGGGTTTGCCTGGATCACTGGTCAGACTAGAGTTAATTTTTTCTTAACGTCTAATCTAATGCAGGGTTTGCCTGGATCACTGGTCAGACTAGAGTTAATTTTTTCTTGATGTCTGATCTAATGCAGGGTTCGCCTGGTCAGACTAGAGTTAATTTTTTCTTGATGTCTAATCTAATGCAGGGTTCGCCTGGATCACTGGTCAGACTGAGCTAATGCCCTGCACGATACCACAGTGCTCACACAACAAGAAGCGACACAACGTGTACGGCTTTATACGGATCATCACCAGCCGGCACGTCGTGTTCAATGAAGAGGAAGCCACCCACGCCCTATGTGAGTTTTTCTTTGACACGAACACCCCCTTCAGCTCCGCCCAGTGTGTGGGCATCGACTTCTGCTCAGAGGAGACGGACATTGTGCACCTCAGCTGTGTGACACACGACCATGAGCTGTGCGCGATATTGGAGGACCAACAAGAATCGATGCTGGTCACGTACAAGGCCATACCTCAAGATTTTTGGGAAACTTGCCGGAACCTGTGTGTCGTCATCTCACATCCCCACGGCCTGTCCAAGTCGATCACCGTGGGCAGACACGTGATGCAGGAGTCGGCTAGGTCCGAATCTCTGGCCCACTTCCACACGGCGCCCACATGCCCAGGCAGCTCGGGGGCGCCGGTGTTTTATCGAT